TGCTCGGCCGCATATAGCCAGAATGACTAGGCAATACCTCAACGATGTTGGGATTAAAGTACTAGACTGGCTGCCAAGGAGTCCGGATCTCAACCCCAATGCGCACATGTGGGATACATTAGGAAGAAGGCTTAGGCGGAACTATGGAGAATTTCAAACGAGGCTGGGTTGAAACAGGCGCTGGTAAACGAGTGGGAGCAAATACCCCAAGACACAATAGCTGGTTTAATTGAGTCTATGCCAGAGAGGATGAGAGCTATTATTCAAGCCCGGGGAGGAAATACTCGTTTTTGATAACAAATTCTAATTAACAATGTCACTGTAATTTTTTAAGTTAAATTGTTTATGGTTATGATTCGCAGTTTTCTTACCAATGTTGTCACTGTAATTTTTCAAATTAAATTGCTTATGGCTATGATTGGCATGATTTTCTTCAAAACAGCATATATTCTTCAACAATTGAGATATTGACATGCATTAAAAAAGAACTGTTGAGAAACGACTTCATACGAAGACACATTATTCAGTAATTCAATGTTTCCACATCGTGTTCAGAAATTTAGGGCAAAATGCACCTTTTAGTTACACCCTGTATAACAGCAACCATGTTAAATGCAAGATCTGGCAGTCCATAATGATGACAATGAAATTACCTACAACTTGACGAAAAAATTAACGAAATTGATGCAAAGGTTATTAAGTTATTTTCAGTTATTGTTTGTCCGGTTAATTTTGCATTGCAGTGTATTATTATCATCAAATGTTCAATGATTCCTAGCAGACCTTGTTCACACATCACATTCGCATGTGGGTTTGGGTGTTCCTTATTGTGTGGTAACATCAATTCTTTCATCAGTGAGACAGAAGTTATCAAGTTCGTCTCCTCAAATCAACCGCGGAAATCAGCTGAGCACTTATGACTACTGCAAGTATCATTTCTAGAAAAATTCAGAAATCAAATGAGTTAAACACAGAGACTGATTCTGACTGATGTATAGTAAATCCACAGTTTAGATAATCTAGATACTCTAAACTGTCGTAGATCAATAAATCATTTACTTCGACGTTATCAATAGCAACTGATTTTATGTCCGTTGCTGTATCTGTATGATTTCGAACGTATCTTGGTGAATTTTCCTGCGATTTAGCACCTGAAAAATCTTACAAAAGATACCGCGGGGTATGCTATATTTTACCACGAGCGGTTTATGGACTGAAATATCATTATGGCCATTTGGCAAATATATGTACCTTTTCCGTTCTTCACCTTGCGGGATTTATTCGTATAGATCCAGATGATTCACAAGGAAGCATCATATCCACTACAACGTTAAATCATTTCGATTTTCATGATACAATGAGCCCACAATATACAAAAGTTTGAAATGGTGACAAGCTATATTACAATATATGTTGTTTGTACCAAAAACAGACTTCAAAACTTTACGATAGAGAAAATCGTAGAACTGTATAGAAACAATAATGTACAGGTCCTATTGAACCTTTGGAACCAAATTCTGTATGAATATCATTGGACTGGCACGCTTTTCTTATACTACTGGTAAATGCTATTCGAGATTACTATATTCTAGAGATGATGTTGTGTATGGTAGTTGCAGACTGAACGTGAGTTGCATCAATCTTGGGTGGCTAAGAGAATGTCTGTATCTACTACATGATGCAATTTGTTTGATCTAACAGAAAAGCAAAGATAATACTGATTTAAAAAAAAACTTTTTGGAAAAATATACCAATGTTCGGATTTTAAATTGAAGCAAAACAATCTTTCATACGCCTTTAAAACCGAATGAACTTAACAACAGAAAGATTTTCGAACTTGCTTCCAATCCGAGGATTTTGCAAATAACCTGTATAGCAATAATCGCCGGCGTGCAAGGAATAATGCTGGTATAAGAATACAGAAGAATATAAAATGCTTTCCAAAATATATTACAAGACTGCTTGTAAAACCAATATTTGTATAGAAACAGTAAAATGAGAGCGTCAACCAACTGTGTCTGAAATGGGGTTTAACTGGTTAACAGACATCTTGACTGTTTACTCCTATTGTTCTTTGTTATCCGAAACTACATACAGCCAATAGACAACATGGATATTGTACAATGCAATTGTAAAGGATAAAAACCCTTCCAGAAACTTTTTAATCTCATTGACAGAACAGGCTCTTCTGGGAGTCTTGCAGAAAAATCAAACTGCTTGGCATGTGTTACACGTTTACTCCCAATTTACTACAAAACACTCAAGCCTACCTTTGTGTCCCACGGTATTCCTAGACCGAGTCACTCTTTCTAGTTATAATGATTGCTTAGAGAAAGGTTTAGCATCGTGACCTGACTCTTCGATCAGCAGATACTGCACGGAAACAAAAATAATCACGTATTCCAATGAGAGATGAGATGTTGTTCTCGGAACATAAAAGATATATGTCAGGGTGAATAAATCTGTAACATATAATTGAAAAAAACTAAGCATATATGGCACTTTGCGCTGTCTTATTTCGATATAATTGAAAAAGTATATCAAAAATATGACATAAGGTGTGAACAATGGACATTTTAACCAATGCCTTGTCATGGGATTTAGTAAAAATGTTTTAAGATAACCTTAAGGTATACGTGTACACGTAGTAACGACAATAGTCAGCCGTCCAGTCTGTTGTTTTTATTCTTTTATTTTGTGTGTTATTGTTCTTGTTTATTTACCCCGTTCTCTTGGTTGGTTTTTGAAAACCCCTAAAATAATGTTTTCTTTTCTGAAATTAACAAGTTTCACCGCGTTTTGCGTCCCTTCGTATGTAAAGTTTCAGCTATCAACATATATTTTCTTTTTGACCTCTTTACGCGACTGATCACAGAAATAAACACAAAGTTTCATTTATGGAATTTTAAATAGTTACTAGTTAGTTAGGGGAGGCTTTCTATATAACTGGACACCATGTCAAATACACAGCCGTTTGGTCAAATATGCATTTGAGGTTATAAAAAAATTGAATCTAAAGCAAACATTTTTCTTTTGTTACTATGCTAAACCGTGTTATATTCCGCATAGGTCCTTGAGGCCCGATTTTACTAACAGGAGATCAAAATCCTTGATCCGGATCAAAATGGACCAATGAGACGGAGTCTTTGTAGTAATGGATAAAATGAATATAGTCGATTTCTTTTAAAATATCTGTCAGTCTAGCGAAAAAATATACGATTTGTGTAAGAAGGGATTACTCGGTTTAGCTACAAAAAAACTATTTTTTCACTTGATCCGGAGATCAGAACCTATGATCCGGATCATCAATGACCAACTAGAAAGCGTTTTAGTAAAACTGGACCAAAAATTGTCCAATTGGACAGAACCCTTTAACCCCCGCCCGAATCGTGGATCAAATCTTATATAATGCCTTGATTGATACGACATCAATTATAGAGCACTTTATTGAAAAGAACAGTGTATTACTTACCCGAGAGAGATAATTTTAGAAAAAAGGATATCTTTTTAAAAATGCATCAGCGTGTCGATTGTCGATTAAATTGCCGTCTAATGTAATTTGTAGATATACATGTATGAACCACTGTTTTGGCACACACATCCTTCGTATGAGCGCGAAATTTATGCAAAGTAGTGGCAATCATATTTCAGTATCTATACAGGGCTAAAAAAACGAACGTTTTCATCTGTGGTCTTTAGCTGTATGTACAAATAAGTTATGCCGAGCTTGTATTAGAGTAGGAGGTCGCAAATTTGAGCATATTTTGTCAATAAATGAATACATATTTTCCACAAACAATTTGTGTGTTACAAAAATAATACATTTGTATTGATACTGACTCGAGTCCGAATTTCAGTAAGTTTCAGTAAATCATATCAGGAGCAGGTAATAATAATGTAGCTTCGTACTATATATTTAGCATGTCACTGATCGGTAGCCAGTGCAACTTGAATTTAAATCCAATAATCACATTGTAGTGTGTGTCAGTCACTTACAAAAGCAGCTATTTATTTTTTCTATTCCATATAGTACGTGTGGTGCCTTTCTGAAATCTGTATTCAATGAGCAATCTTTTTATTCAATATAATGCAGTTATAGCACAGTACATTTTTATTTCACCACAGATGGTCAGAGTTGAGGAAAAAATATCAGAAGGTTATAAATCCCAAAATAGTCCTTATTTCAGGGTTTCCCAACCTTTTTTTGTTGATGCTCCCCGGACTATAAATTATATTTTCATGTCCCCCCTTTACTTTCTCAATGAATACAAAAAAACGCACTATATATAGGTACACAGACTTTTATTTTAATTCTAATAAAGGAACTTTAAAAATTTAAATAAACTAATGAATCATTTTATCGAAAAATTTGATAAAATAAGAGTAGGTACTCATGAGACACTTGTTCTGTACCAGTTGGTTGATTCTAGGTTCTGTTTTTTGCCAGAGCTATCACCAAGTCGCTATCGACATCAAGACGATTTGGTTGTTTAGTTTTAATTAATACTAGAGCAGAAAGGCCTGAATCACATAAGTAAGTTGAACAAAAAGGAACTACTATCTTTTAATCCAAGATTTCTTCAATGTTAAAAGATGGAAGTCATTTTTCATAGACGAATCAGACTTCATTTCTAGAAATTCTTCCTGAACTTCTTTTGGTAATTGTGACACATCGACAACAAATGGATTTCTTGTCGTGTGCCATAGTATCAGCGAAATTCGTCTTCCAGCGCTTGCAAACGAGTTTTTATGTCAGCTTTTAAATTTTGCGTCCAGTCTGTTATTTTTAATTGCTTCGAACAGCCGAGAAAGAGATATAACATTTTCAGAAGACACTTTTTGATTGCAAAGTTTAAGCTTTAATATGAACCCCTGAATATAATCAAAATTGCTTATTATAGTGTTGTTTCCGCCATGAAGTTTCAAGTTTAGCTCATTCAAGGAGTCAAATATGTCAGTTAAATAAGCCAACCTCCATCGAAATGTGTCATCTCCAATGAGTTTATGCCAATCCAAATATTTTTTTTCAACAAAATTTGATATTGAATTAAATATATCTTCAGATGTAGTACCTGCTGTCAAAGATTGGGAGTACAAAATCTCTTCTTGAAGGATATCTCCGCCGATGTAACGAACATAAACTATTAACGGTGCACAATTAACGAAGTCGGTGGATTCATCGCAACTAATGGCAAAACTGGCGATAATTTTACTTTGTTAATTATTGGTGACTTTATGTCTGCTGCAATGTCATCGAGTCTACGCTTGACTGTGTTATTCGAAAGAGAAATAGACTTCATTTTTTGCTTTGCATCTTCTCCTAAAATTATCTGCGTGGCTTTTAGGACACATGGTTTTATTAATTCTTCACCGATAGTATGAGGTTTCTTTTGCTTTGCTATCATAAAAGCTATTTCAAATGAAGCTTTGAGATGCTGCGATACACCTGTGTGATAACTTCCCAATTTATCCAGTCTCATCCGCTTGAGTGATTCTGCTTTAGAAGAAAAAAACTCTTACGTCTTCAAAACCCGAGTAGGATGTGGTTGGTTCAAATGCCTTTTTCTGTCATTTTGCACCTATAACAATAAATCAAATAAGTAATAAATAAATAAGCAAAATACATACATGCAATTACGAATTATATGCCCATTATTTTATCTTAAAAACGTAATGTATTCAATAGTTATAATAGTAATTTTAAATACATTTGGAATCAGTATTAGGTACTTAAAGATCATCGTTTCAAAATTATTTCGCCACGTCTCCACTCAATCAACAATTTAGTAAATTAAATAAAACTGGAATTTCTAAATACACAAACTTACCTTTTAACAGTGAGACAATAATTTGACACACTCAAACAGATTTCTCAACAAAACATGTACATCGTCAAATTTTTCGCAAGTTTGTGGAAATGAATGTCACAGATGTCCTTCCGGTCTGATTCCAAAGAAAGATCCCTGGAGCAGGAAAGACTGCTGCGGACAAAAGCCACAACTCCCCCGTTCTTTCTCAGATTGGAGTGCACCTCGTAGTTTGGGAAGTTGAGATGGCACGGCAGGAGGATTGGATTGCAGGTAGTGATGAACAGCATCAATGTTGCTGTTGATCCCGCAGATGTTCGAAAAACAAATTTTATCTTCGATGTTGTTCCCTCCAGCCCACCCTCCACCCGGACATTCCGAGAGTGGAGTGAGTTACGTTACATATTTATCATATGTTCAAATTTATTGATAATTGTGCGGTATTTCCATATATTAATTCATTTTAACCAGTGTGGTTAACCAGTATCCTATTGTATTAAGGCAAATTCAGCTTTAATGTCATTGATCTACATTGATAATCATAAACATCGTTACAATTCATTATAAATGTTATTGTATCACAAAGTAGTAAAAGCTTGAAATGTGTATCCAAATATCGTTATTATCTGAATTCCAATACATATGCCTAATCGACAAAGAGGCACAAGAAAGAAGGGTTTCCATTTTACATTTTGCAGACTTTATGTTATTGCAGACCTTTCTTTTTGCAGTATAATTTTTTATCTGGTTTCTACTATTTTTTCTAAAATTTTATAAGGCAAAGGCAACAGTATTTGTTTATCTAAACCAGATAAAGGTATTTAAAATAACTGTATTTACCTTCAACAATGGCATGCAGATTAGATACAGCAGCAGAAACATGTGCTAATGGAAGATAATTGAGTAGTTTGTGGAAATCCACACATAATTGACAACCAATATATCATTTTTTTAGTTTTCTCATGGGGTTATGTTTGTTTTGAATTGGGTTCTATATTTCATTTTCTTCATGATACTTGTTTCCGATTGGCCAATTTTTTATCCAATTTTACTAAAACGCTTTCTAATTGGTCATTGTTGATCCGGGTCATAGGTTTTGATCTCCGGATGAAGTGAAAAAATATGGTGATTTATGAAGAATTTTAGTGTATTTGACCAGACGTCGGTGTACAGGTATGTGACATGGTTGCCGGTTATCTAGACAGCTTCCATTAAATACCTATTGTATCAGCAAGTATCGTTCAGTTAGAAGCCATGAAACTTATGTGGGGATTGACGCGGGATAGATATCGCCACGAATTTATCAACAGCGGATTTTTTGACGAACCGTGGGGAATTTGTTAATTCGAAATAGATTCCGGAATAAATGGCTAACATGGGCGCAAGCGAAGGTGAGAAATGAACTGCCATGGGAACATGTTGTTGCCCGCACATTCTACTAGTCCTGTTTCATGTCCAACGAATATTGGTTTCGGAACCTTGATGATATAATTTATGACTACTCCACAATGAGTTTCAGCGACCAGTCCTATATACATTATGTAGGGTGGATCTGCTTTTCGTAAATGACAAGCGGATGGCTACCATTAATACACATTTTCGCCAATGCAATTAATATTTTGCAGATTATGGAATATCAAAACCTAGATAACACTAAACGTGTCTTTTTCTTTCTAGGCCAATTGGCAGAGCAGTATTGACTTTGCTCTGACCATAGTACTACAACCGCACTTGCAACCGTTGCTTGATTTTGCTCGATATCAGTAAAGCTTTTGATACAATAGATCATTCAATCTTATGTTCGAAACTTAAATCTCTGGGACTAAGCAATATGGCTGTAGATTTCTTTAATAGCTACCTGTCAGGCAGATCCCAGTGCACAGAATTTAATGGGCACATATCTCAGTTTCGTAGTATTATCAGAGGTGTGCCACAGGGAAGTATTTTAGGACCTTTGTTGTTTTCACTGTATACGTCAGATTTGAAAAGTCAGCCGGAATTTTGCAGTACACATCAATATGCAGATGATACACAATTTTATTACTCTTTTAAACTTGATGATGCTTATGTTGCCTGCATGCGTATCAATTCTGATTTTGAGTATTTATCTAGATATGTAAGAGCCGACAGCCTTGTATTAAATGAAAATAAAACTGAATTGCCCATTTTTGGATCAAGACCGTGTGAGGTTACTGACAACCAGAATTTTAGAATCTGCATTAATAACGCTGTATTACAACCAAGCAACCAATGTAAAAATCTGGGACTATATATGGATAATACTCTTAAATTTGTTCCCCACGTTAAGCATCTCTTACAAAAAGCTTATGCTAAATTAAGGACTTTTCATCTTCACAAGAATGCTCTCTCTACTGAAGTCATGCTGAATCTATGCGATTCGTTGATATTGTCTTCCTTGTCGTATGCTGATATTGTATACTGGTCTGCTCTCACTACTAGCGACAAACGTTCTATTCAAAAAATTCAGAACTCATGCATTAAATCTTCGTACGGTTTGAAAAAAATATGACCACTTCAGTGACGAATTTCGAGCCTCTGGCTGGTTCAACATGCATGAGCTTTTTGATACATATTGCTTGCTTAAATTACAATATTAATAAAACCCAGCTACCACTTTACCTCTATGGCCAGATACAGTAAAAAATTCGATCTCACTTAGCAGCTTCCGAAATAGAGTCAAATCTTATGTGAAAAGTGCACAATAGTTTCATTTTTGTTGTATTAATTACACCCATCAAATGTGGCCACAATAGTTACTCAAAATTCACGCGAATTAGGAATAAGCTAGATTAACGAATTTTGTTAACAGTTTTAACGAGACACTCTGATAACAATATAACTTAAAATAAAGAACGCTTTGTTTTAAGGCGCAAAGTTGCTAATTATATGCCAACTAATTTGTTTTTGGGTGACTTAGGTATTTTTCGATAGTAACATAATATGTAAATAATTAGTTAATGTTCATGTTTTAATATTAAAAAGAGAGAGAATAAAAAAATAGCATGCATTTTTAACTTTATAGCCGGAACTTCACTTAGGATATTAATTCGAGCTGAGTTAGGAAGCCCAGGTTCACTTATTGGTAATGATCAAATCTATAATGTTATTGTTACTGCCCATGCATTTGTAATAATTTTTTTATAGTTATACCTTATGATCGGAGGATTCGGAAATTGATTGGTACCCCTAATATTGGGAGCACCTGATATGGCATTCCCTCGGATAAATAATATAAGATTTTGACTTTTACCCCCCTCATTAAGATTTCTTTTATTAAGAAGTTTAGTAGAAAGAGGAGCTGGAACAGGGTGAACTGTCTATCCTCCTTTAGCAAGTAGTATTGCTCATAGAGGATCTTCAGTAATTTTAGCAATATTTAGGCTACATTTAGCCGGAATTTCTTCTATTTTAGGAGCAGTTAATTTTATTACAACTATTATCAATATACGACCAAAAGGGATAAGCATAGACCGTATACCCTTATTTTCTTGGGCAGTTATAATTACAGCTATTCTTTTACTTCTTTCCTTACCAGTTCTAGCAGGAACAATGACTATGCTTCTTACAGATCGAAATTTAAATACATCTTTTTTCGATCCTGCAGGTGGAGGTGATCCTATTTTATATCAGCACTTATTTTGGTTTTTTGGTCACCCGAAGTTTATATTTTAATTCTTCCTGGATTCGGAATAATTTCCCATATTATTAGGCAGGAAAGAGGAAAAAAGAAGCTTTTGGAACCTTAGGTATAATTTATGCTATAATAGCTATTGGATTATTAGGATTCGTAGTATGGGCCCATCATATATTCACTGTCGGAATAGATGTGGATACACGAGCTTATTTTACTTCAGCTACTATAATTATTGCAGTTCCAACTGGAATTAAAGTTTTCAGATAACTAGCCTCTTTCTATGGCACTCAAATCTTAAACAGACCAGTAACTATGTGAGCCCTAGGTTTTGTGTTTCTATTCACAGTAGGAGGACTAAGTGGAGTAGTTTTAGCACATTCTTCTATTGATATTATTCTTCATGATACATATTATGTAGTAGCTCACTTTCATTATGTTCTTTCTATAGGTGCTGTATTTGCAATTATAGCTGGGATTGTTCAATGATTTCCTTTATTTACTGGATTAACTTTAAATAATTTGTTTTAAAAAATTCAATTTATTACTATATTTATAGATGTAAATTTAACATTTTTTCCCCAACATTTTTTAGGCCTAAGGGGTATACCTCGGCGATATTCTGATTACCCAGATGCTTTTACTATTTGAAATATCATCTCATCTATTGGATCTATTATCCTCTTACAAGAATCACTTTTTTTTATTTATTCTATGAGAAAGACTCCCTTCACAACGTAAATCCTTAGGAACTTTAAATATAATTACTTCAATAGAATGATTAAAAGCTTTACCCTCTAGAGAACATAGCTATTCTGAATTACCTACAAACTTCTAATATGGCAGAATAGTGCACTGGATTTAAACCCCAAATATAAAGTTTAAACATTTTTAGAAATTTTAACATGAAAAATTCTACTTTTACAAGATAGAGCTTCCCCTCTTATCTTTTTTTTCACGATCATACGCTATTAATTTTAGTAATTATTACTGTTTTAGTAGGACAATTGATAATTATATTATTTTTTAACAAATTAATTCATCGCTATCTTCTTTGAAGGTCAAACTATTGAAATTATTTGAACTATTTTACCTGCCATTACTTTAATTTTTATAGCAGTTCCTTCTTTACGTCTAATTTATATCCTTGATGAAATTAATAATCCAATAATTACTATTAAAACCATTGGACATCAATGATATTGATCTTACGAATATACTGACTTTAA